TTATGGCTCAACGAGGCAGAGTTCCCATGAAGGTCACATGAGGCCACACGCCCACATCGCTGAGCGTGGTGCCTCACTAACTTCCCAGCCTCTACCCTTACTGCCTCTGTCACTGCTGCTCCGCCTGAGCTTCCGCTGCCCTTCTGTGGCTCCTCTTAGCTCAGAAAAACCACTTCCAACGTCCCCTCGGCCGTTCCTTTGACCCCCTCCTCCTTCGCGCTCTCCCCTCCTCTCCGGTCCCTGCCCCCGGACCCTGTGCCACGGGAACTCTGCCGCCGAGCATCCTCTCGTGGCCTGCAGATTGGACATGCGGTGTATCAGCTGTGCGTGGCGTTGTCGGGGCCTGAAAGACATCGTTTCCTTGCCAATAAAAAGTCACTTGATCAGCAACAGAATGTGCGCGACCGACAGTCTAAATCTATATAAACATTCTGTGGTTGGAGATCGCAATGCCTCGTGACTTTAAAAATGCTGTTCCCTAGGGATAAACAGGAAGGTGAGGTAGATACGTCATACTGCAATAATTATCTGACTTTTTTGGAAATGAAAACACCCCTTGAAATGAATAAACGGATGCCCTGCGGCGGTGTGTGAGTGTCTCCGTGCGTCTCCAGCCAGTTCACGGGGGAGCGGACGCGCCTTGCCCACGGAGGGAGTGGGGAACAGCTCCCAATGGCAAGAATAACTTCTGGGGATGTTTGGGAAGGGAGTTCATTCAGGGCACGACGGAAAGGATGTGGCCACCTGAGGCCATATGCTCTGATGCCTACTAGGCAAAAGATGAAGAAATTGTCACAGAAAGGAAGAATACATACGGGCAAATGCATACACACACATACATATAAAATCCGGCTGCAAAGGTGACCGCCCTTGTCTGTTTTACACTTCCCGTTTGGCAGGCCTTGTGAACATTTTCAGATGTGCTAATATCAACCTTTCAAAAGACAAAAATATAAAATAAATACGGAAACGAGAGGCAAGTTTTGTTAGAAAAAACCTGTTCAATAAGTATGTGTTACAGGCAAGATGTGTAATCCGGATGTGACGGGCAATTCTTGGCTCACGCCTAGGAACCCGCCAGGGCTTATTTTTAACAGAGTGGGAAGCCTCCCTCTGACACGGCTTCGCCTCAGCTCACCCTCCGCACCTCGCTCGGTGTGCGCAGGTTTACAGACACCCGGGAACCGCGGCGGCCTCAGGCCCCCGGAAAACAGCAAGTCGTAGCAGCAGCCACTTGCCTCTTTCATCGGGAGCAAAGTACGTCCTGCTTTACTAATGGACCCGCCTCCATTATTAGTCTACTTATTTTATATAAAAAGTTATCAGTTTCATGACGTGGGCCGCCCTGACGACCCACGTCTACAGCTGGACGTTTCCCACCCGTGCACCCTTTTGCTGATGGGAAGGAGCCACGACACACGGGGCGACTGTCGCTGCTGAGTCAGGGGGTGTCTGTGGAAAAAGAAAAACCAGTTTCGGGGGAGGCCTTAGAAACCAGCACCCAAAAGCGTTCTTTTTCATATTGCGCTTCCCGCGCTCTCCAGAAACAAATGGCCTCTCCCTGAGATAAAACTGCTCCTCTAATTTACATGATTTCTCATGGTATAGAGTATACATATCCACTTGCTCTATTTAGTTTACATGTAAATTTTATGCAAAAAGGAACTTCTCAGATGAACAGTTGGGTCACTGTGGAACCCGAGCACTGCACGTTACAAACCGAGCCCCACGGGAACTGGAGCCTCAGGGTCCCGGCAAGCAGCAGGCAGAAGAAACGCAGCCTCTGGCCTGGCCCGGCCCCTTCTATCCGCCATCTACTCTTCCTGGTGACTCTTGAGAGTCACGTAACAAGCAGAGCCCTGTTGCCAGGCCTGTGCGCATGCTTGGCAGAGGTACTGTTTTACTTTTCACTCCAGTTTAAAGGGATAAATGGACAGTCCGAGAGGTATACTGGTGTCTGTCTGTCTAGTATCTACCTATCGAGTGCGAGAGTTATAACTGAATTATCTTGAATTCCCTTTTCTGCGGGTTATCGCAAGACAACCTGAGTCATCAGTGAGAGTCCTGCGTGCGGCTTGTAGATTCCTTTGCTTATTTGCTCACGTTCCTCCTGACAGCTAACACCTGCAAGATCCCTGAAGGCTGCCTGATGGGAAAGAAGAAGGAAGGGTCAATAACCTTCAATACCGGGGTGGCGGTGGGGGAGGCCAAGGCTTTCAGTTGTCCCACGGGGACCGGCACAACAAGAACAGGTCGAAACTCCAGAAAAAGAACTCAACGAAACGGAGATAAGGCGTCTCTCAGACGCAGAGTTCAAAGCACTGCTCATAAGGATGCTCAAGGAGCTTAGTGAGGACCTCAACGGCATCAAAAAGATCCAGTCAGAAACGAAGGACACACTAACAGAAGTAAAGAACAGTTTCCAGGCAATCAACAGGAGGGCGGATGAAGCTGAGAATCAAATCAGTGATTTGGGACCTAAGGAAGCAAAAAACAACCAATCAGAACAACAAAAGGGAAAAGGACTCCAAAATAATGGGGATAGTGTAAGCAGCGTCTGGGACAACTTCTAGAGGTGCAACATTCGCCTCATAGGGGTGCCAGAAGGAGACGAGAAAGAGCAAGACACGGGAAATCTATCTGAAAAAATAATGAAAGAAAACTTCCCTGATTTGGTGAAGGAAATAGACATGCAAGTCCAGGAAGCACAGAGAGTCCCAAACAACATGGATGTGGAGAGGCCCCGTCCAAGACACATCAGAATTAAAACGCCTAAGTTTAAAGATAAAGCGAGAATCTTAAACACAGCAAGAGAAAAGCAGTTGCCTAGGTAGTTGGCTGCAGGGGAGCTCCCATAAGACTGTCAGCTGATTTCTCAAAACACACTTTGCAGGCTGGAGGGGACTGGCAAGAAATACTCAAAGTCATAAAAATCAGAGTCTCAGCCAAGATTGCTCTACCCAGCAAAGCTATCATTTAGAATCAGGCAGAAAAAGAGCTTCCTGGACAAGAAAAAACTAAAGGAGTTCATCCTCACCAAACCATTATTATATGAAATGGTAAAGGGGCTTATTTAAGAAAAATGGTATCTAAACTATGAACAATAATGGCGACAAACATGTATCTATCAACAACTGAATGTAAAAAATACACTGAGCAAATAAGAACAGAGACAAAATCGTGGATACAGAGAGGGCTTTGGGTGGGAGGGGGATGTGGGGGAGGGGCGAACAGGTGAGGGGATTAAGAAGCACAAATAGGCACTAACAGCACAGCCACGGGGACGTAAAGTGCAGCACCGGAAACGGAGCGGCCAGAGGACTTACACGCGTGCCCCACAGGCACGAACAGTGCGGGGGCGCGGCCTGGGGGCGTCGGGGTGCTGGGAGGAGGGGGCAAAGGGGGAAAAACCGGGACACCTGCAACGGCACAGTCAGCAAGAATATAATTTTTAAAAAGGGAAGCCGGAAAAAATACAATAATTAATCAATAGTAATACGAGAATCAACTCTGCTTCATGCACGCACAACGGTAAACCGACTTTTGCCCCGCCCTGTATGAGAAAGTCTGAAGGAAAAATAACTCAGAAAGGTCTGCGGTATTCTTGACGATACTCCCTAGGCTGTACACCTCACACTACTATAGAATAATATTGAATGGCAACGGTAACAGAAAATACTTTTTTTAAAAAATTGAAAAAATACAAACAAAAACTTCTGTCAGCGGTAAGTCACAAGTGATGGATCACACCCTGTGGAGGCTAGAAAACTCAATAGACGTCGGTGTAAATCCCCAACAAGGGGTTAAACTTCAGCAGGGAAGATATTAAAAATAACACAGAAACGAGATATTTGGATCTGTGAGGCTGAGTAAGTTCTTACTGTTGCCGTTCGGAGAAGTGTCTGAAATGAAAGCAATTCCCAAGAAAAACTAAGCTCCTTAAGAGATAATGGGACTTAGTTGAGAGAAAACTTTTCTACTCAGAAAACGTGAACATTCATAATATCAATATGTAACACAAATAAAAGTCTTTTTTCAGGGTCAACAGATGGGCGGTACACGAGTCCTCATTTCTCAGAAATCATGGTGTCACAGGTCCGGGAAACATCCTCTAAATATAGAGGACAGTGCCTCTGGCAGGAGGGAAAACATTTCTTGACACGACAAGAAGCTCTGGGAGCGGCGTGCGCGGGGGACCTACGCGGGCTTGCGAGGGCCGGGGCGCGGCCCGGGCCCCGAGCCGCAGCCGCTCCTCCCCGGGCGAGAGGGCGGCGGACCCCCGCGAGGGCCACACTCTTCGCCGTAAGCTGCTCAGTCCAGCGGCTACCAACCTAAACCCACCGCACCGGGCCGCCTGGGGAGGGGCACGGAAGAGGCTCATCCGTCCGCTCTCGGCCGGTCGGGCCGTCCCTCCGCGGAAGTTTCAGCGGGAAGCTCCCCCATTGCCTTTGATCCTCCTCCTCAGCCCCTCCTTCCATTAAAAAAAAAAAAAAAGGACCAATTTTCTCTCCACTACTAACGCGCCCCAGCAGCCTACGAACGGACAGAGATCGAAGGGTGCCCTATGGGAAAATTTCCTGCTATTTTCATTTCCTCTGTCATCCAAAAGACAAATGGATTCATGTTAACGAATGTTTGCGGCTACTTCACGTCCAGAATGCCTCCTTCCGCAGAGTCGTTTCTGCTTCTCTGTGGAAGGCACAGCGATTAGAAACTCGGGACGGCTACTTGCGGTCGGCGTTAAAAGGTAAACACACAAGCCCACACCCGGGGACGCATTCACGGGACAGGAAGTCATCGAACCCTGGGGTCCTAAGACCTCGGGTTCTGTCTGGCCAGCTGCCCGCGGGGGCGGCCCGGCCTCGGGGGTCAGGCCTCGGAGCCCGCGGCGGGGCGCTGTTGGAGGCACTCGGCGCCCTACACGCAGGCGGCTACTCTGCTGAGCAGCACAGTCTCACGGCAGGACCACGCGCTTATATGTTCTATGGGAGCGCATTTACCCAGGACCCACGGTAATATCATCCACTCGACGATGGTTGGTGGCGGCCCTTGCCGGTTCAAGTCTGACCTGTCGATGTGCTGGGAGGCCAGCAACAGCAGAAACAAAAACGTCAGATAGGACGCTGTGTGGCAGATGAACTTGATAAATGGCTTTCGGATGAACAGTCCGAGGGCGCTCTTAGGAGCTATCAGGTAGCACACGGAGAAGACAGGGAAGAGCAGGCCTATGACGAAGCAGGTCAGCATCTTCACGGCCCAGTGCCTCCTCCGCCACCCGGGGAACTCGTCGTACCAGCGGGACGCCAGCAGCTGTTGGCAGTTGGGCTGGGCTACAAACTGCAAGAGGAGGAAAAGGGAGAGGGAGAGTCAGCGCTGCGTGGGGAGGCCGCGCGCGCAGTGACCGCGGGGCGCGCTCCGTCCCCGCCGCACGCACCGCCGTGACAGGGGCGGGTCCGCTCACACCGTAAGGGCGTGCGGGCGCGCGCGCGCGCCTCCGCGTACACGCCCGGTCACGTGCAGGGGCGCCCGACGCCTGCGGCCCAACGCAAAATCGTACGTTGACTTACAACCTTTTCTGTTTTTGCTCATCAGGTCCCGTTAGCGTTTGTGCATTTTGTGAGTGGCCCAGAGAGGCCACAGGGTCGGACCCGCCCCCCCCCCCCGGAGGCGCGACATGTAATATTTTTCACTTTCAGCATATGACGGAGGACGGTAAGCAAGCCAACTTATATACATTTACATATTATATAAGCTAAGTTTAATTAAAATCGTGTCGCAAAGGTGGGGATTAATCTTCAAAGATTTCTGTGAGAAATTCACATGCAAGAGATCATAATTCAAGCATAAGGGAATAGCAATGAAATAAGGAGTGAACTAATTAAGTTTTCATCAGCCTTATTAAAAGGTTACACGTAAGTAAGATTGCCTCTGAGAACACGTCGGCTAAAAAGCTTGAGGTCAGCCAAGAAGGCTGGTCGATAAACTTTGGATTCCGTCTTCCACAGACCGTCCTGACCAACAAACCCCCCGGCTCTGCCCAGTTCAAAGACTCTCCCACCCGGCCCTCGAGGCGCCTTGGGCGGGTACGTCAAATTCAGATTCGCAGGTTGGAGTCCAAGGACTAGCTCCAGGCCCGTCCCCAGGGCACCAACCGCTCTTCTGACGCCCACAAATCCAGAAGGGAAGATGACAAACGCCACCTGACAGTGTTGGTGAGGCGGGGGCAGGATTCAACTTCTTCCATCATTTCTGGGCCTGGATTCAACACTGGTTTGGCAACCGCGCTGGGACGATGTGTGGGCGGCGACGCGAAGCGGAAAACACAAAGGCAGAGGAAATACGGTGGGCGGTGAAAAGCCAACATCGCCTCCCTTACACCATTGAACTTGGCAAACAAACAAAACCCCAGGGAGGCGGCGGGAAGGAAGAGTCGGTCGCTGCTGCGGATCCTGTGAACATCGCCAAGGGCAGCAGCAGGCGGAAGGAATCCCATACCTCTTCACCGCTGTTCCCGCTTCAAGGTGTACGTGAAAAATTGTTTTAAACTACCATGAGAAAAAGAGGAGGCACCTGCCCATCATTTCTCGGTGGCTACCTAGAGGCTTTTCTAAAAAATGAAGACAGATGTGGAAGCAGCACGTGATAGAGTTCTTAAGGTGCCACCATTTGACCGTTGGCCGTAGGTGAACACAGGTGAGGACGGCAGACGGGAAACGGAGGTTCGGTCTTCGCCTTGGCCGCCCCCCGCCCCCCGCCACGTGCTGGTCCCCTGACGAGCCGCCAAGCCTTTTGGCACCAGGAGGGCCACGCTCGGGACGGGTGCCCCCTGTCACCGAGTCTCCTGGTTTAGAGGACTAAGCTCGGCGGTGCTGTCTCCCATTAGACAAAGAGCCGGAAAAGGAAAGAGACGCAATGGGAATGCACGCCAGTTACTCCTGCGAGTGAAAGGCTACAGGCGCTCCCGGAGTGTCAAGACCCACTATTTCTGAGGCTATTAGAGCGCGCAAGACCCTGTACCCCAGGGGGACTGTGTCCTCCTTTTCAGAAGCAGCAGCCGATCTCCCCTAGCAGAGGCTCCCCTCTACCCTGCGGATTTGTACACGGAGATAATTGAAGGGAACAGCTGTATTTGTTTCCGATGTGTTGGACCACACAAACCGGAAAGCGTTAAACTCTAGCCTCAGGGTCAGGAATAAGGTGGTTCCCTTTCCCGCCCCCGAAACCCTCCGCTTCCCTGACCTCCCCGACCGTGGCTCCTCAGGCCCTCTCGGCTCACACGTCTCCCAGGCCGAAAACTAGCTCTCGGTTGTGACTTCTCTGTGTATTAAGGTCAGGATAAAATTATCTAGTCGGTGACAGAGTGAGAAAAATTGTGTTTTGGGAAGAGCAGAGCCCACAGAGCCACTGACCCAGCCAGGGCTGGTCGCAGAGGGACGAGGGACGAGGGGACAGACCGGCACACGGCAGGGCCGGGGGAGAACAGCCCCGGGCGTCGCGGCGCCGGCCCAGCGCGGAGAAGAGGGAGGACAGGAGCGGCGGTCCCCAGGCTCTCTCCTGCGACGCCCTTTCCATTCTCCCTCCACACTATCTCACCGCCGGCTGCCGGTCCCCCCCGCCCCATCTTCCTTGCCTCTGTTTCTCACCAGAATCACTGAATAATGGGCTTCTCTCGCTCTCTTTAAAAAAAAAAAATACTGATTTGAGAGAGACAGAGGTTGGTGGTTGCCCTTACTGATGCATCCTTGGTTGATTCTTGGGTGTGCCCCGGCCCAAGATCGAACCTGCAACCTTGACGTATCAGGACGATGCTCTCTTTCTCTCTTTTTATGACGACCTTGGGATGTCCTTCAAAAGGACAGATGTGTCCCGGCCTCTCCCTCCTCACCAGTTGCAGGGTTTCTGCTTTGCCACGCGTGCAAGGTTGCTCATTCGCACCCTCGGGGTCTTTCTTGGGACGGCTCCCTGGGTCACCGTGCGTGTCAATGGGCGAGGCCAGGTCACGAAGCCCATGTGAGGAGTGGCTTAAAAGCGAGGACTGCGCCAGGTGCCCCAGGGCCCGAGCGGGAGAAGTGGACCTGCACCAACGGCGGGAACCTCGCTGTTTTATTTTTCTCTGACCCCAGGTGCTGCTCTCCTTGTGGATACGGAAGGAGTCTGTGCATGAACGGTACCTCCCTTCGATCTCTGAGGTTTTATGGAGACACGTCTGCGCGTTGTATGGGGGCCGAGGGCTGCCGTACAGAGAGCAGCCAACAGGGCGGCGTAGGACAGCAGCGATTTATTAACTCCGTATTACCTCACCGCCCCGGAGGCTGCCAGTCCTCCAGGCGCTGGCAGCGCCGCGCTGCCTCCCCGGCTCGGGGTGCGGCCCCCGCCCGCACGCCCTCCCGGCTGGGGCGTCCCTTCGCTTGCGGCTGCGTCACTTCGGCTGCGTCTCTGCTGCCACGCGGCCCTCGCTCCACGCGGTCCCTTCAACGACCGTTTCTCGTCTTGTAAGGACACGGGTCATGAGCCTGTTCCGCTCCCATGTGACCTCATCTTAACTACTTTTACCTGTATGACCCACATGACCCTTTTCCCAAACATGGTAGAAAACTGAGTTCCTGGGGTTAGGAGCTTAACGTATCATGTTGGGGGTACATAATTCAAATCGTAACACTGGCAATCACTCGTGTTCTAGAAGCTCCCAGTATGTAGGTTATGGGTCTATAGCTTACATAAGCATCGCTGTTTCAAATGCATAAAATATATTTCAAGTTCGTGAATAATTCTTTAAAACCCCGCCTTCCGCTCCACGTTTAACGTCCCTCCCTCTCTCCACTCTGTTGTCTTAGTTCCTTGCTTTCTCATGAGGACTGATGATAAAACATGCACGTGTAAGAGTCTCTGAAAAGTGAAGGTCCTCTCTATGAAACTGTCCCCTGCATCAGCCCGCTACTGTAATTAAAGGCGTTTCCTAAGGGCTTCCTGGAAAAGTGCGTAGTTTAACTGACATAAATCATTCAGCCGCGCAGGCAAGCAAGGCACAGAGCACATAACACGATGGTTATCTGGTTGAAATAGGGCTTCCATGGGATGGGATTTAAGAAGTGCAGTTTTGGGGGCTGGGAAACAGGAGAGGCAGGAAACCGCGGCCGGGTTCAGGGCTAACCCCGGAGCGGGGCGCTCCAAGGGTGCGGGGACCCACAGGCGCTGGCCGCAGGGAGGGCCTCGGGGGCGGGGCGCGCACAGAACTCTCCAGCACAAGAAAGACTGCGACCGCCCAGACGTTCGCCTGGTTGGACCATGTTCCTAAGTTTAAATCACCAGTGGGGGTTTTTTCTGTCAGGAAATGCTCACTTGAAAGCCAGATACAAACAACGAGAGTCCCCGGCTCCCAAACGCATGTTGTTTAACTCTGATCCCCTCTGCCCCTGCGCACGTCAACTATCCAGACACCAGAACAGGAGAACCACCCAGGGTTTCAAAAGTGGACCCGAGATCTGAACAGAGCCCGTCACGAGAGGTACCTGCGTGGAAGAACATGTGAAAGAGGCGCCGGATCACATGCCACCAGGGAAATGCCGGTTCAGGCCACAAGGGGACGCTGCTGCGCACCTACCGGAACGGTCGGAATGGCAAGACCACGGCGCACGTGGGCAGGCATTTAGAGACCCTGGGCTTCCCACCCAGTGCCCATCAGAATGGGAATGGCCCGTCCCTTTGTAGACAATTTTCAGGTGTCTTAAAAAATTAAACCAATACTTACCGTAAAATGGACTCATGCCCGTCCCAGACACGTCCAGTTATTTGTATGGAAAACAATACAATAATTAATAAATACTAATACAGGAAAAAAAAGAAGAGAAAAGAAGGTAGATGTCTCTCCAAAGACTTGCATACGAAGGTCACGCACACGTTTGGAGGCAAGAGCCAAACGCAGGGACAATTCACGTGCCCCTCACACAGTGAACGGATCAACGAAACGTGGTACCTTCACGCCGCGAAAGCCCATCTGCCCGGCAATGAGAAGCGCGGGAACGACCGGCCTTCCCACGCGGTGGCCTCGCCCGCGGGGCCCGAGTGGAAGCAGCCGGGGGAGAAGGGCGCCTGCTGTGTAGCTCCGCGTGGATGGGCCCCGCAGGCCGCACAGCGACCCGCAGCGGCGGCGCCCAGGGCTTCGGCCCGGGGAGGGCGGCAGCGTGAGGCGAGGCTCCCGAAGGGCCAGGGGCGCGTGCGGGGCGAGCGGGGCGGGCACTGCCCTAACTGCGGCGGGAGGGTATCCAGGGGCTCGCTTCACACGTGTCCAGTTTATCACATGTCCATTGTGCCTCCGTAGAGCGGCTTAAAAATGGCCC